GGACATGAAGTTAATTGGTGTGAGAGTAGAGGATGCTGAGGATAGAGTTAGGGGGAAAAAGATGATTCGCTTGGCCCCCCCCCCCCACAGAATGGCCAAACAGCTGAATCAACATTATACCTCTAATTATCAACTATAGTTGGTTATAGTTTTACAAATTAGAGACAGATAGACAGAATACACTGGAGATATTATATAGCTCATCTATCCTGGGAATGCCTAAGGGTTCCCCACCAGAAGCTGGAAAATTTTGCTTGGGAGAGGGACGTCTGGACTTCCCTACTAAACCTACTGTTTCCGCAACCAGACCTCAGAAAAGCAGTTGATAATGGATAGACTGATGGATGGATGGATAGAACAATAATATTCTGTTACTGTTCAACTGTATGTATACTTCGGTAGATCAGTTTTTGTAATAACTGAACATAATGTACTTCTGGGGAAGCTGGAACCAAATACAATGTTCAAGTTTGGAAAGCAGCTAAAAATCTGTTTATATAGTTTGAGGGTCAAGATTTGGGGTACCTGGTCATTGAGCTGTCTAATGTTCTTCTCTATGTGTGGCAGCAGGCCTCTGAAGGTAAACTCCTGGATGAACTGTCGGATGTGGTCGTGGTCATTCAGGGTCAGACATGCCCCGCGGCTCCCTGTTTCTCCCACCGACCTGTCTGGATCTCTTGAAACTTTCTTCAGGTCACTGTTGACAGAGCTGAGGATAGGTAAGCCCCCTGAGCTGTTCACTGTGTCCAGCTGGAGACGATGGCATTCCAAGCTGTTGGACACTCCATCTGGTAGGAAACCGTGTCAAAACTAAGCACGCTCACAGTACAGTGATCATTTGATTTAACAAAGCTCTTCTTTATCACACTATCCAACAACCCTGTGCAGATAAATCAGAGGACCTGAAACAAAACACTACTTGTCACTGGGCTGTTATGGAGTTTCCGGCGAGGCACCATATGACCATATATTGCCTACGGGCACACAGTTTTGGTGTTGTAGAGCCAGACAAGCAATGGACAAGTGTCTCTCTCTCTCTCTTTCTCTGATCCAGAGGCACCTTTCAATGCATTAGTGCTGTGCTATCTACAAAACCCTCACCCAGAATAAGGTTACCTGCAAGTGATTTAGTACCAAGTTCTCCACAGACATAAGGTGCGCTTTGGGAGAGATTCAGGAGAACCACCATCCGGTCACACCCTAGCTTTATTGTGAATGTCTCTTCTCACCAACAGAAGCTGGTTACTAGAGGCCGACTAAAGTTATGCGTCAATACTGTCTTGTTATGCCTAGACAGGATTCTGAGTTAGAGGCCTTCACTCTTATTTTCACAGGTGGTAACTTCGCACCATTGGCTCTTCACCAAACCACACGCTAAATTCTGAACTCTGTGGTTCCACTGGTACTGAGCAGGATTATTGCAATAATACATCATTAGTAGGCTATATCCTCCCACAGTCCAAAGACATGCAGCGTAGGTTGATTGGTGACTCTGAATTACCCATAGCAGTGAGTGTGAGTGTTTGTTTGGCTACATGTCAGCCCTGTGATAAACTGGCAACCTGTCCAGGGTGGACCCTGCCTCTCACCAGATATCAGCTGGGATTGGCTCCACCCGCCCCCCACTGAATTTAGTATATGAAGGTGAACTGCCTGACCTTTCTCTGTTGTGCGATGGCAGTCCAGTTCAACTGCACTGATATTGTTCTCAATAGCAGCACTGTTCACAGTCGGTGCTAGATCATCAATTATATCCTGCAAGAAGGGTCACAATATTAACACAAAGGCCATTTTTGGTACACATAGCAGACTACTCCTATGGCTGTTTAATGTGCTGTGCTTTCTAGCAACCCTACCATCTCCACTAAGATGGTGTCTAAATTAACAAATTTTTTACCGAGTAAAAACAAAGACATTTGATCATGGTTCAATTACCATCGCCCCCTCTAACAGGTGAACGTAGTTTGTATGAGTCTGGACATTTATTCAGTCTTTAAACATGCTGTAAACTAGGGTATGACACAGAGGTACTTAAACTGGCATTACTTTCTACAAACTTGACATTTCTTGCATTGAAAGGTGACGAAAAATAAACATATCTGAAATATGAAATTATTTCAGTGGATTCTTAGAAAATGCACCACAATCTAAATGCATCGTGGTAACAGGAGATCTGCATAGGATCCCTCCCAAAAAAGTTGAGGTTACATGTGAAGGAAGCTATAGTACTTACCTGGTTTTGCAAACTACTTTTGTGCAGATATTGACTCCAGGGGTCTGGAATCTGTTCATCGTCTCCAACTGACAAGGTACGAGAGTTCATTTTCAGCAAATAGCAGCCCTGTGGACCATACCTCTGTTTCATGTCTTCATAGACTGCATCTGCCCTGGAGGGGGGTAAGGAACACTAATTAAACCCAAAACAGCTTACGTAACCTGTGCAATATGACAAAAAAATACAGTCCTGGTAAAAGGAATGCACACCCTCCTTCAAAAACAATTGCATGGACTTCTATAAACAAATAAAATAACCCCATCTGACAACAACAACAACAAAAAAAAAACTTGGTTTTGGAGTGTTTTGTAAATTAAAAATAAATGACAGAAATATTCCATTAACATAAGTATTCAGAGCTTTTGTGATTTGTAACATTCCACAGTTGAGTTCTAGTGCATCCTACTCCTATCAATAGTCATTGAGATGAATCTGCAGTTTGATTAGAGTTCACCTGTGCCTAATTTAATGCACTGGATATACAGGTGCAGCTCAATAAATTAGAATATTGTGGAAAAGTCCATTTATTTCGGTAATTCAACTCAAATAGTGAAACTTGTGTATTATATAATTTCAGTACACAAGTAGTTTAAGCCGTTGGGTCTTTTAATTGTGATGATTTTTCTCCCAATTTACTATCTCAATAAATTAGAATATGGTGACATGCCACTCAGCTAGTCAACTCAAAACACCTGCAAAGGTGTCCTGAGCCTTCAAAATAGTCACTCAGTTTGGTTCACTAGGCTACACAATCATGGGGAAGACTGCTGATCTGACAGTTGTCCAGAAGACAATCATTGACACCCTTCACAAGGAGGGTAAGCCGCAAACATTCATTGTCAAAGAAACTGACTGTTCACAGAGTGCTGTATCCAAGCATGTTAACAGAAAATTGAGTGGTAGGAAAAAGATGCACAACCAACAGAGAGAACCGCAGCCTTGAGAGGCTTCTCAAGCAAAATCGATTCAAGAATGTGGGTGAACTTCACAAGGAATGGACTGAGGCTGGGGTCAAGGCATCAAGGGCCACCACACACCGCCGTGTCAAGGAATTTTGGCTACAGTTGTTGTATTCCATTCCATTCCTATTCCTCTGGTCAAGCCACTCCTGAACCACCGACAACAGCACAGGTTTGGAAACCAAGGTCCTAGAGTCTGGAGGAAGGGTGGAGAAGCTCATAGCCCAAGTTGTTTGATGTCCAGTGTTACGTTTCCACAGTCTGTGATGGTTTGGGGTGCAATGTCATCTGCTGGTGTTGGTCCACTGTGTTTTTGAAACCCAAAGTCACTGCACCTCTTTACCAATACATTTTAGAGAACTTCATGCTTCCTTCTGCTGACCAGCTTTTTAAAGATGCTGATTTCATTTTCCAGCAGGATTTGGTGACTGCCCACACCAATGCTGTTGGTGTGCTTGACTGGCCAGAAAACTCAGACCTGAACCCCATAAAGAATCTATGGGGTATTGTCAAGAGGAAAATGAGAAATGAGAAACAAAATAATGCAGATGAGCTGAAGACCACTGTCAAAGAAACCTGGGCTTCCATACGACCTCAGCAGTGCCACAGACTGATCACCTCCATGCCACGCCGAATTGACGCAGTAATTAAAGCAAAAGGAGCCCCTACCAAGTATTGAGTACATATACAGTAAAAGAACATACTTTCCAGAAGGCCAACAATTCACTAAAAATGTTTTTTATATGTCTTATGAGGTATTCTAATTTATTGAGATAGTGAATTGGTGGGTTTTTGTTAAATGTGGGCCAAAATCATCACAATTAAAAGACCCAACGGCTTAAACTACTTCATTCTGTGTGTACTGAATGTATATAATACACGAGTTTCACTATTTGAGTTGAATTACCGAAATAAATGGACTTTTCCACGATATTCTAATTTATTGAGCTGCATCTGTAAATATGAAAGACATACATCTGTCCATATAAGGTCACACCACTGATGGAAAATTTCAGAGTGAAAACAAAGCCATGAGGTAGAGAGAACTGACCACAAACATGTGAGACAAGATTGTGTTGAGACACAGATCTGGGGAAGGATACAAGGAAGCTTCTGCAGCAATGAAAGTGGCCAAGGGCATGGGAGCCTCAATCATTTTCAAATTAAGGAGATTTGGAACAAGCAACAGTCTCCATAGACCTGGTCAGATTGAGTAAGTGGGGACAAAGGGCTTTGGTCAGACAGGTAACCAAGAATCCAAGGGTCACTATGAATGAGATCCAGAGCTCCTTTCTGGAGATGGGAGAACCTTACAGAAGGACAACCATCAGCACAACACTCCACCTATAGTGCCTTGTGAAAGTATTCGGCCCCCTTGAACTTTGCGACCTTTTGCCACATTTCAGGCTTCAAACATAAAGATATAAAACTGTAATTTTTTGTGAAGAATCAACAACAAGTGGGACACAAACATGAAGTGGAACGAAATTTATTGGATATGTCAAACTTTTTTAACAAATAAAAAACTGAAAAATTGGGCGTGCAAAATTATTCAGCCCCCTTAAGTTAATACTTTGTAGCGCCACCTTTTGCTGCGATTACAGCTGTAAGTCACTTGGGGTATGTCTCTATCAGTTTTGCACATCGAGAGACGGAAATTTTTGCCCATTCCTCCTTGCAAAACAGCTCGAGCTCAGTGAGGTTGGATAGAGAGCGTTTGTGAACAGCAGTTTTCAGTTCTTTCCACAGATTCTCGATTGGATTCAGGTCTGGACTTTGACTTGGCCATTCTAACACCTGGATATGTTTATTTGTGAACCATTCCATTGTAGATTTGGCTTTATGTTTTGGATCATTGTCTTGTTGGAAGACAAATCTCCGTCCCAGTCTCAGGTCTGTTGCAGACTCCATCAGGTTTCCTTCCAGAATGGTCCTGTATTTGGCTCCATCCATCTTCCCATCAATTTTAACCATCTTCCCTGCCCCTGCTGAAGAAAAGCAGGCCCAAACCATGATGCTGCCACCACCATGTTTGACAGTGGGGATGGTGTGTTCAGGGTGATGACCTGTGTTGCTTTTACGCCAAACATAACATTTTGCATTGTTGCCAAAAAGTTCGATTTTGGTTTCATCTGACCAGAGCACCTTCTTCCACATGTTTGGTGTGTCTCCCAGGTGGCTTGTGGCAAACTTTAAACGACACTTTTTATGGATATCTTTAAGAAATGGCTTTCTTCTTGCCACTCTTCCATAAAGGCCAGATTTGTGCAGTATACGACTGATTGTTGTCCTATGGACAGAGTCTCCCACCTCAGCTGTAGATCTCTGCAGTTCATCCAGAGTGATCATGGGCCTCTTGGCTGCATCTCTGATCAGTCTTCTCCTTGTATGAGCTGAAAGTTTAGAGGGACGGCCAGGTCTTGGTAGATTTATCGAGAATCTGTGGAAAGAACTGAAAACTGCTGTTCACAAATGCTCTCCATCCAACCTCACTGAGCTCGAGCTGTTTTGCAAGGAGGCATGGGCAAAAATTTCAGTCTCTCGATGTGCAAAACTGATAGAGACATACCCCAAGCGATTTACAGCTGTAATCGCAGCAAAAGGTGGCGCTACAACGTATTAACTTAAGGGGGTTGAATAATTTTGCACGCCCAATTTTTCAGTTTTTTATTTGTTAAAAAAGTTTGAAATATCCAATAAATTTCGTTCCACTTCATGATTGTGTCCCACTTGTTGTTGATTCTTCACAAAAAATTACAGTTTTATATCTTTATGTTTGAAGCCTGAAATGTGGCAAAAGGTCACAAAGTGCAAGGGGGCCGAATACTTTCGCAAGGCACTGTATCAGGCCTCTAGGGTAGAGTAGCCAAACAGAAGTCATTCCTCACTAAAAGACACATGACAGCCCGTTGGGAGTTTGTCAAAGGGCAACTGAAGGACTCGGACCATGAGAAGCAAAGTCCTCTGGTCAGATGAAACAAAGATGGAACTATTTGACCACAACTCCCTATGGTGTGTGTGTGGAGAAAACAAGGCACTGAGCATCACCTCATTAATACCATCCCTACAGTCAAACATGGTGGTGTCAGCGTCTGTATCTGGGACAGGGAGAGTAGTCAGGATAGATGCAGAAAAATATAAAGCATTTCTGAATGAAAACCTTCTCCAGACTGCTCAGGAACTCAGGCTGGGGGGACTAAAGGTTTACATATTAATAAGACAACTTGAAGCATAACATCAAGAAAACAAAGGAGTGGCTTGAGAAAAACTTGTGAAAGTCATGGAGTGGCCCAGCCAGAGTCTGGATCTGAACACAGTAGAACATCTCTGAAAATGGCTGCGCTCCAACGCTCGACGTCCAACCTGGCTGACCAGAAACGATTCTGCCAAGAAGAATGGAAGAAAATTCCAAAAGAAAAGTTGCCGAACTTGCAGCTTTGTTCCCAAGAAGACTTGGCCGTCATTGCTGCCAAAGGTGCTTTAGGCAAATTTTCAAAACACTCAAAAAACCTTTATCATTGTGGAGTACTGTGTGTATTGATGAGAAAAAAAATTAACTGAATCCATTAAAGATGAGTCTGACACAAAACAAAATGTGGAAAACTTGAAAGGGTCTGACAACTTTCTGAATCCACTATAGGCTACAGTCACAGCCAAAAACACTGGCACCCTGCATTTCTGCCGGATAACGCACCACTTCTCCCAGAAAATTGTTGCAACCAAAAATTCTTTGGTATTCTTTCTTTTTCTTCTAATTGCAACATGAAATAACACATTTACAGGACAAAGGACATAAGAGAAGGTGAGGCAACCGACATTAACAAAAGAGACAAAGGGATTATTAAATTAAGTTGCGTGTGTGAAAGTGTATAGTGTGGGTGTATCCACCTCTATGCAGACTGAAATTCAGTGCTTATTAAAGAAAAATAAATTCTTTGCCCTTCTTTCTTTTCTCCATGCTCAGTGTGGTCCACACGACACAAAGCCCGAGTCAACATTTCTCCATTTTAACTGGTTACCAGTGTGATTTCTATGTTGCCAGCACCTGTTGGTTGCTACAGGCAGGTTTCATTACAGATTAAAGGAGCATCACAAGCTGGAAACACAACTATTTCTGATGGTATTTAAAAGGTGTCAGTAATTCTGTCCAGTCCGTTTTTGTAGTTCTGTGTGTAATGGATCAGATTTGGCTGATTTGGATTTTTGTTGTTCCAGTGCAAACAAGAGAAACAAACACAAGGAACCAAAGAATTTGTGATTGCAACAGTTTTCTGGGAGAACTGGTGGATTATCTGACAGAAATGCAGGGCTGCCAATATATTTGGCCATGTCTGTCATTTGTGTGTATACACACAAGATAACGTCCTCCTCATTGTGGCTCATTTTTACATTTCCAACTGCATGTTTTGGCTTTTCACATCAGCTACATAAACCTTGCGTTGCAGTCTAACAGTAGTAGTCCTAAAGACACATTTATCAATCAAACGTTGCACAGTTTCATCAGTTATCAAGAAGATTTTTTACCATAATGATTATTGGGATCATTTTATTGCCCAGCCCTACGGCTTACTGTTACCACATGATTATAACACAGACAGCACAATACACATGGGCACATTTGAGGAAATATATACATGGACATAACATAGTAAAGCTTGTTTCAGTACCTCTGTTCATCCCCCTCGTTCATGTCATGCAGTAAGACGTAGTACTTAAGCGTGTTGGGAATAAACCACTTTGGGCTGGTGTATTCTCCACTGTGCTGAATCCTGTGCTGCTCCTGGGAAAGCTTGAGGAACTGCTCCACAGGGACTGCCTCAGTGGAGGACACCACCAGCAGGCCTGTCACAACCAGTAATCAAGGACTATAACCCATGTGGAGCCATCAGAAAAGAGCAGAACATCTGAACCAGGCATGTCTATGGGAGCAGAAGATGATGACTACAATACTATGATTACTACTATCACTGTCACTAATGATAATAACAATCATAATAAAAGATTTCTGAATCAGCATATCACATAATGCAAGTACATAAAGCCATGAAACAGCCCATCATCTTTTACAACAGCAATACAGGTTTCTCATTATTTCATGAGATTGGCTATATTTTTTGTTTGTCTGAGGGTGATGTCATCATTTCTCTGCACTTGATAGAATTTAGCAGCCTTTAAATCAAAATCTGATCATATTTGGGATCGTTTCATTATTATTACTTAAAAGTACTCATTTCTTTTCAGCCACTAGAGGGTCTAGTCAGACTCAAAACAAACTCGCACCAGAAAACGCTCTTGACCGCTCTTTGCCCCTCCTGTCCTATTTCTTGGATTTACAATGTGAACAATAGATTCATGGTTGTGACAAATTCTAAGGACAGCCTCTTGTCCAAAGCAAGCCTTGGCTGACTAACAAGGAAATTTGGCAATCAAGAGGGTATTCCAGAAAGCAGGTTCAATGAAAACACAGCGCTTGTTCATGGTGAAATGAATTCAGGGTTTTCGGTTCCAGAAACAGAGACTACTTGAACTTTTGAGTTTTAACCCAATCCCTCAGGTTTAACTGATTTGGTGTTATACTGTGATGATTAAGTGTTCTTTTAATTTTTTTGAGTAGTATATTGTAACTAGGCATGGTGGGCACTGGTAAGTGATGATGCAACAACAACAATTTTCCAGGTTCGAGCCCTGGCTGACCCGGGGCCTTTCTGTGTGGAGTCTGCGTGTTTTCCTTGTGCCTCCATGGGTTCTCTCTGGGTACTCTGGCTTCCTCCCACAGTCCAAAGACATGCAGCTTAGGTTGACTGGTGACTCTAAAATGCCCGTAGGCACGAGTGTGGGTGTGTGGTTGGTTGTGATAGACTGGCGACCTGTCCAGGGCGGACCCTTCTCTCGCCCAATGTCAGCTGGGATTGGCTCCAGCGCCCTGCAACCCTCTTCAGGATAAGTGGTATAGATAATGGATGTGTATGAACACTAAACCTCTTTAGCTAAATTAACAAACTTTAATAGGTCTGTTGAGCTATTGAGGGGGAACATATAACAGCGCTATGTTCACACATACTGCCTACCTACAACAAACTACCTGACTGTTAAAACACACCCAACATACACTTGAGCAGAAATCCGTTTCCCTGACGTTCTCACGAGGTCTCTGTATGATTGTAAACTGGTCATATAACTCTAGAAACTCAGATCATGAATATATTATTAGAGCAATAAGCACTAGCTGTTCTCCATTTTACCTTGCGTGCCTGGCGGGATGTCTCCTTTCTACTGGACCTATAGGTTTACATCACAGCACACAGAGGTCAAAGTTCAACCTAACTGAACACAACTCACAAAGCTGCACATACACTTTGTCATGTTCTGTCTGAAATCTCCTATACTTTTCTTATTATTAAAGCGAGAAAGTAGGCAACTTATCTGCAGTGGTGAGGGCTGATTTGCAGAAAACAGTAGTGCCAAGCTATTTAAATATTAACCAAACTGGAAATCCAAGATAAATCTACGCAAGCATCTGGCTATAATCTACAGTTATGGTAAAAAGGAAGCACATCCTCCTTCAATTCCATGTTTTTATTTATCAGGGGCTAAAAAACAATTGTGTGGTCCTCAGACCAACATTCTGAAACCAGATGGGAAAATAAAATTACACCCTACAATTCAATAACTTGAAGTCAACTTTCTCTCTCACATTGATTTGGAGAAATGTTGGCCCACTCTCCTTTAACACATTACTTCTGTTTATTGACATCTGAGGACATTTGTTTATGCACAGCTCTTTTAAGATCCTGCCACAGCATCTCAGTGGGGGTGGGATCTGGACATGGCCGCTCAAGCCTCTTCAGACACCTTCATCTGCTGTTAGGAAATGATGGAAATGAAGCATTTTGTCCCAGTCGGCTTACAGCTGAATAAACATAGCCTATTTAAATAAATGTAATAAACAAGAGGGTTCCAGCTCTTTACCATCCATCTGCCAAACAAGACTGCACTGAATAACATGTAATGTTATTTTTTTTCTCATCTTTTCTTCTCTTCACTTCAGGCTCTTTACCTGCTGATGCTGTGTTTAGTTTTTTTTTTTTAAGATTTAAGCTCTGATCAGCTGTTCTGGACCCAAAAACTCAGGTTAGTCAGCTGACAGGAAGAATGCTACACCTGAATCAAATTTGAGTTGCTTAGCTAATTTCAATGCTCTCAGTCTCAAAAGGTCAAACCATTATTCACCCTGGTTTCTGCTGTTTGTCCCACACGCTCTGTGCAAAAAAGAAAGGGGCCCCCTGATTTGGAGGGCGCTGCTTCAGACTTTTAGCTGATTAGAGGTCTTCCATGGCTGGCTGTTCGAAATTACTTCTTAGAACAACGGTTCTTATAAACTTTGCTATGTGGAATGCGGGGCTAATTTATGAACCCTATTTTGACAACACAGGATAGAGAAGTAACAGAAGGGCTGTAAGTGGTTGGCTGTCATTGAGGGGGTTAGTGCAGCTGAGAGATGGCACATCTTGTCTCAGTTTCAATTAATTTATCAGACAATGTACTTAGTTAATGAACTTCACACATGGCTTTAAAACTTTATATAAATGTGTCTAAGGTTGCCAGGATAAGTCCGACTACCATCTTTAGCGCCACCAACCATATACAGTACAAACTCACTTAGATTTTTTCTCACCTTTCCCTTACAATTACTTTTTCAGACTTGGCTAAAACATCAGAAGAAACAACAGCACAGATGCTGCTGGAGTTAATGAACCGCAACACAAATTAAAAACTGTATTTTAACAGAATCTGTCACATGAATGAAATCACACGGCCAAATCCGGACAATGCCTAACCAAGCTGGAACTTTTAAAAATGACCTGACCAGAGCATGTAGACTCTTTATGACCAGTGGCCAGACTTGTGTGCTGTTGGAAGGATACAGGCGAGGTAGTGATTGAGGAACTCATGGTCGGAGGCAGGCATCGACTGCAAGAAGCTCTCCCTGTAGACTTCAAACCAGGGCGTTGATGCTAGAAACAAATACAAAATGATATAGAGGATTTCATCCAACAAAACAGCCAGCCATTGTCTCATTCTATGTTTTTCTTGTCTATCAGATCACTACTTAGATTGTTCTTTTTTTTCCCATTTTGGCATGCCTGTTGCCGTTGAGCAGCTGTGTCACATGTTCACTGAGATAACAAGCTGGGCTGTTAACTAACTGGGAATCCACACTGAAAGCTAAATGTGAGCAGTGCATTCTCCGTCTTCGTCCTCAGATCTGTCGGCCTGTCAGCAGGACAGCAGCAGGAAAAAGAGTCAGATAGCACAAGTATACTGAACAACAATAGTTTTCATGTCTGCTCGTCAGAAAGAAACCCCATTTTTATGTAGTCTGTGGATTTACTGATTTTGATTTCCCCGGCTCACTACAGAGGGCAACTGACAGCAAATTAACAGCAGCCTGATCAGTCACAATGGAAACCGGCAAAAACAGAAAGTAATGGGATTTGTCTAAGTGTAAACAGCTGTTTGTGGAGATTACACTTCACTAAACATGGCAGAGGGAATAAAATAGGCCAGAAGCATAAAACAATGTAAGGGATCTACAGGAGATGCTTCTCAGATTCAGTGTGGACTGACAGGTTTGATAGAATTGAATTCTATCAGCAACATGAGACGGACTTGAGAAACATGTAGAAAGCACTTCCAAAAACCTGATCATGGATTAGGGATAAAACTTCTCTTAAAGTGACTAAAGCAGCCTACAGGAGGGAGGTGGCCGGTCTGGTGTCTTGGTGCAAGGACAATAATCTCAGCCTCAACACGGACAAGACGAAGGAGATGATAGTGGACATGAGGAAGGAGAGAAGATCTCATCAGCCATTGTTCATCCGGGGGCTCGAAGTGGAGAGGGTGAGCAGCTTCAAATACCTGGGCGTCCACATCAGTGAGGACCTCACTTGGACACTTAACACCACACAGCTGGTCAAGAAGGCCCAACGGCGGCTGTACTTCCTGAGGAGGCTGAGGAGGTTTGGCATGTCGCCTAGGATCCTTTGCAACTTCTACAGCTGCATCATTGAGAGCATCTTGACCAGCTGCATCACTGTCTGGTATGGCAGCACTACTGCTATGGACCGCAAGCGCCTACAGAGAGTGGTAAAGACTGTGGAGAAGATC